TTTTTTTTTGATCTATGTAAAAACAGTCTTTATTTATACAGTAACTACTTTTCTGTTTTTTATGGCTTACTTTAGTTTCATTTTTGGTTGCAAAAATTTTCCAAATGTTTTTAAACGTTGTTTTGTTTACTTTAACAAGGCCGACTTTTACACGACGGGGAGAGCGAACGGTTGACAATTGCATTGAACCGATGAAAAAGATTTCATTTAAAACTTATACCATAGATAAAACAAGTTTTATTTGAATGGAAATTTGTTTTTTACTTTGTTCTTCATTTCTGTCTGATTTTCAAGTGAAGAAGATTTGAAATTTGTTACTGGTATAACAAAGTGTTACTTTGAAAGATGGTATCGAAATGTAGCAGCAGCGCTGATGGTTATTTATTTTGACAACAGAAAACTTGGTTGCGGTAGTTTGGTCTGACTCCAATAAATACTTCATTTCTGGAATTAATTCTTTTTATTTCATTTCTATTTTTACTTTTCACTTTTGGGTTTAATATTTTGTTTTGTGGTGTAGAAGCAGCTGCTAATAATGGTGACAGAATATCTGTGTGGTGGAAATATGGTAAATTGAAAAAGGTTTTTATATGCCCTAAAACTATTGTTATTCTAGGACAGGTATAGATTAGTACACAATTTTGCTATTAGTAAATTACAATAGCAACTTTGACGAAATAATAGAAGACCAGTAGGAATTTAGTAGTTCATTTATAGTTGCACATATATTTGTAAAAATTGTACAAAATCAAACAAAAATTTTTAATTTTTGTGTGATGCAGTAGAGAGATTTTAGTTTAGCAAAAAAAACTTTACTCAAAAACTGTCGAAGAAGGGTTTTGAGTTGCAGTTTACTCATTTGCTTGTGAATTTTTTAAAAAATCTGGTGAAAAGATATTGTAATGCAGTAGAGGACTATACCAGTCGGGTCGTACATAAAATTATAGGTTCATTTTTTTCGGATAATTAATAATACCTGCAAAAAGCTTTAATGGATGTCTTTAGAGAGTGCGAAGATCTCAAGTGTAAATGTTGAATTTTTACAATTTAATTTTTGAATTTTCAACTTTTTATTGCTTTTTTTTCATGAAAGGACTTGCTACTGTCTGCTCGATGAAATGGAAGATATTACTGTAATATTCATCTATGAGTATTTTTATTGCTTTTTGTGTATGTATATATGTTGTTTCTCAAAAGCTTAAAAGAAGCCAACTACCGTTTGAAGTCTTTAGGATGTTAGCTATGTAAGTTTTTTTGAACTATGAAATATTATTCATCGATACCATCGGTTATGTTTTAGATGACTTTTTCTTTTGTATCTTGGCTTGTTGGCATCGTTATTTGGCTCAAAGCAGAAAAAGACGAGTCATTTTTGATAACAGTAAAACAGCAACTTTGGTTTCTCAAATAAACGAATTTTGGAATTGATAGGTGCGACGGCTACAGCTGCTGTTGACCGATATTCTTTAAATACAGTAAAATTTAAAATTTTTATCTGATTTATTGTTTCTTTTAGGTAAAATTACCAGGTTGTAAAAGATGCTTATTCCGTCTAAGTGGTACAGCGCAGTATGAAATCTTTCTTAACCACCCTTTATTAATTTATGCGAGCTTAATCTACACAGCTCTTCAAAATGCTTCGGTGCCGGAAGTTCGAAATCAGAAAACTGCACAAGTAAATGCAAAAGTTTTTAAAAGGCAGATACTTTTATGGGAGAAAAGACTACATAAAACAATTAGATTTGATTATGCGAACGGATATTCAGTGTGTTTTGGTGGATACCATTTATGCGTTCTCAAGGCTGTTACCAATCACTGAAATAGCAATGCGTTCTGCGTTGCCATGGGAGATGAATTCGTTGGTGAAATGCTCGTTCTGTTCATCGTTCAACTTTTTGTCTATTCTGAAGCTGATTTTTGTGTAAATCCGGTATTTCTGTACTCTACTGAGCAACTTTTACCATCCAAAGGTCCCTTTTGTATCGTTAACAAAAGAGGTAAACATTTTTCCTTAATTCTTATGTATTCATTTGATGTTCGGCTAACCTGAGTGAAGCAAAAACTGAGTGATTTTTCTTTTTGGAAAATATGACTGATAAAGGAAACAGGAAGGAGGTTAAAATATTTAATTGGGCAGGAGGCTATTTGATAAAAAATTACTTTCAACTGTTGGCCAGTTGATGTTTTTTAAGATATGATCTTTAGGGTGCGAAAACTAGCAGTGAACAATGTTGTCAACAGATATAATAATAGTTTTTTGCAGAAAAAGATGCAAAATTTACATCATTTACTGACCTGTCATCGAGTAAAACTTTTCAAAAACTTATGTCCAGAAAATCTGTATCACAATTCGTACCAATCAATGTATGCACACAGTACTTTTTTATTGCTGTTCTTAGCCTATTCTAAGTTTTATTAATCGTTCTTTCAAATCATTTTTCAATCAGTTCTCCTGAATAGTTTAGCAGTTAAAAGAAAATAATTTTTGCTAAAATTGCTAAATTTTTTTTATAATTATATAAATGCTTTTTGACACAGTCTTCTAAACATACTTACATAACTTAGATCAACGATACGCTTGCCTTGTTTGGTGAAAATGTACAAGAACCATTTGAATACCCAGTTTCACTACACTCTAAAGACTGTTCTGGCACTGCTTTTCTCGGTCTGTTTCAGAAGTCTTCTTTTATTATTGTATTTTGATAAAAGCTTATTAAAACATATTTGTCAAATTTTTTTAAAACTGTTTAAATGGTTTTTTACAATTAGAAGTTTAGCGTACAATCAAAACATTCATAGCAGATGTTATCTGAAATGGTTGCCCACCAATTCTTCCGAATGCACATCTCGTCCATATATGAGTGTCCGCTTGTATACCGACAATCAGTTTGGCAGGGTAACTATAGGCTTTTTAATAAGCGTATTATTGATTGTAAATTGATATACGAAGCATTTTCAAGAAATAATGGAGTAGCATTTTTACTGTTTTTGTTACAGGAAACTACGCATTGAATGCAAGATAGTTTTGCATCGTGATTTTTGGAGTTATAAAGTAAGCTGAAGAATAAATTGAAGTAGTGTGAAAACTGCAGTAAAAGTGTTTCATTATATTCTAGTGGCTTGATAAACAACTGTTTAGTTTATGATGAGCACCGATGTGAGAGAAATATAAGCTGTCATCAAATTACTAGTAAATTTTTGTACTTTTTAGTCTTTTAAATCACTTTTTGGGGTGGACACTGCAAACCGTAAGCTTATTAGGTAGGGTAAAAATCTGTGAAGCAGCCTGAATTATTTTCGTTGCTTATAGTTTTTTAAATCGTGATTATATGTATTTGTTTAATGCTAGCATTTATTGGGCTTTTTTACAACAGTTTTCCTGCTTTTTGCAATACAAGAATTGCATTCCCACTCTGATCAGTTTATTCTTAAAACGGTTTCAGACCAATTTCACAGGTAGTCTATTACTGCTGTCTGCATTATGATTTAATTTCAAGCATTAAGATTGGGCTTTGGTTGTTGCGTTTAATTTTTTTGAGACTGAAATGAAAAGCAGTATAGGTCTTTTGGTACATTTGGCCTGAAACAATTAGATCATTTTTTCTGGGTTTTCACTTAGGTACAATTACAAATCAGAAACGGATGGCAATATTTAATCCTCTGTAGTTTAAGCTTTTCAAATGACTTGAAGCAGTTTAGTAGTCAATAGATTTCAGGTGCCAAGCTTTTTGTTTTTCAAAATCTTATTTTTGAATCATTTGTCTTCCATCTGCTCACAAATACTAGTAAAAATCCTTGACCAATTCTAAAGAGTTGAAAATTTCTAAAATACATAACTTCAAGAATCTTATTTAAAGAAACATTCATAGTTGTAAGCAGGGTTTAAAAAATATGATATTTTTGAACATGATATTATTAATTGATACTGCTAATACAAATATTTTCAAATTTGAACAAATTTTCAGATGAATGGCAATGTAACGGTGGGAATAGAGAAAAGTTTGAGCGAAATTCGGCAGATTGTTTGGAATAGAAGGAGTTGCAACAATGCGTTAACTATGGTGGATGTTTTTTACTTCTATTCAATATCTTTTATCAGATGATCTTTGAATTCTAACTTTGGATTTTTTTTATTTTTGTGTAGCTTATCCAAACTGGTTCAGTAAATTTTTAGAAGCGGAAAAAATTTATCTCGTATTTAAAAATAGCTTTAGGTAAATCTCAAATTCATCAATGACGGTGACAATATCTATGAATTAAGCGCTGAATTTGGCTATACAAATATAACGCAAGAAAACTACGATAAAGTCGCTTTTGAAATTGATGTTCAGTTCAAAAATCTTGCAGTAACTGGGGAAAACAAGATCTCTAAGCTGGGCTATGACTGGAATCAACCTATTCATACCTCACGTGGTATCTTAAAACTTTTAGCAGACCCGTATTGTTCTGAAGCAACAGCAGTGACGGTGCGTTTCGGAACAAATTTAATGACAGGATGTACAATCAGGTTCACTTACTGGTTATCATATATGAACTAAAAAAAATAAAAACTTGGACATGGGCAAAGGTTAAGCTGTATAGTGGGCATTGTTTAGACTGACAAACTGCTCATCTGTAAAAGCTACTATCAACGAATTATCTTCACGATATGTTATGATGAATATTTCGTCAACTCCTAATATTCCAAGCTATGCAAAGAAAGTTATCGTTGATAATATGCAAGAAACGGTTTGTTATATTACAAACTGATGAAAGAGTTTGATATATCATTTGTAGAAACTTTGTTCAAATGTTTATCAAATAATTATCAGCTGTAAAAAGTACGCTGCAATACTAATTATTTTAGGGAGCAACAAATGCTGCTTGTGGTTTACCGACAACCTTAACTATTCAGATATTTTTTGCCAAAAGTGGTCCTCTCTCCAACTACAAGAGGAAGATAGTGACTGTTTCTTATCGTTTTGGTAACTATATAACGATTAACTTAATAGAGTCTTCAATATCACAGCTTCCAATAGTTTTTCTAGTCCAGTTTATAGACGTATCAAAACCTGCTAGAGGTCGTTTTGCTGAATTTCCTGTTATTAGCTTCTCATTACCCTCAGATTTCTTTTATCCGTTTTTCACGTTCAATGATCCTCCAACTTAGAAAAGTGGCATATACTTAGTGTTCCTGAAGAGGAAGCGATATATATATGCTTATGATGTATATATTGGCGGACTTTTAAAAAGTTTCGATAATGAAAAAAAATTCATTCTTAGTTTTTTAAATTTTTTTTGTTTAAATACGCACTGCGCAAATTTTTTTTTTGCAGAACAGCTGAACAAAAAAAATCTTTCATGTTTTTCTTGGTTGCAGTTACTGAAAAATCTATAGCTTATCTTGGCTATGACTGTAAGTTTATGATAATAAAGTCAAGGATACAGCAGTAAAAGTCATCAGTAGTTGGGATTTCTCATCTAATGTAGAAGTGAATTCTGCGTAAGGAAGTGGTTTTGTAATTTCTAACTTTCCTAGGATACCTGATAACATTTAAACGTCGTAGTAAATTGAAGTTCTCTTTTGACTCTGTACCTTATAGACGTATCAAAGTTTATAGACGCATCAAAACCTGCTAGAGGTCGTTTTGCTGAATTTCCTGTTATTAGCATGATCTGTTGATAATAAAACTAACACTTCTCAGCTTATATGGTATCGTTTCTTAACGTTGGTAAGGGCTGAATAAATTTTTTGTTGACTGCTGTCAAGATCTAAATTAAATTTGTCATTTTTTTACGTCCTGTCACTTTATTTACTAACACTTGTGCTGTACCGTTAAAATTTTTTGTACAGCAACAATAAAACAACTTAAAAATGTAGTTGTTACATTCTCCCAAGAATAAAAGTAATGTATAATGATAAATTAATCCTTTTCTTAGCCATAGACCACCAGTACGTCGCTTTGAAAGGCTTCAACTTTGAAGCTCTTCATTAACAATTACCAATTAAATATTCTAAAATGTTGGCTTTTTGTTGTAATTTTTCTATACGTTTTAGTCATTACTTTCTTGGTTTTACGTTTTAACTTTAATAAATACAGGTAACAAGGTAAGCCAAAATTAAAATCAATCTATCAAGGCACGGTTTTTTGGAAATATCAAAAAATTGACCTGTCATTCTTTCTAGCATGAAAGATCATGAAGCAGCGTAATTTGATTGCTAAAATGTTTTATCTTGCAAATATAATGTTAGAAAAAAAGTAGCTAAAAGGTTACTTTAAAGAAAGAACTGTGGAGGGAACGATAATGTAAAAAGCCAGTAGGTAGAGTATGTTATAAATGTGGTGTAATGTTACTGCTATCAGGTGCTAAACGATTATTCTTTTGTCACGTTTATTTTTTTTTAAATACTCAAAGATGAATTAAATTAAAGAAAACAAGAATAACGAGCAAAATAAAACTGAATATCTAAACAACTTTAAATTTACTAACACAAGGAAATAGAATAGTACGTTTAGGCAGAGCACAAAACGTCGTGAATACCAGTTAATCTTCAATTGTAAAATCAATCTCAGTAAAACTTTTTCGCCATCAACCGCACATGATTATACGCAGAAAAACAGTTTTGCAAATAATGCTTGGTTTTTTACATCTACTTTCAGCAATAAAACAAATAAAAGAAGTAGTGGACAGGCTTTCAATTCAATAATTTCTAGATCAAAAATTCAGCGTATAATATCTGTCATTCTCAAATTGAGTCATAAAAGATTGTCTTTTCAGCAGCACTTCTGTTGAAATTTATAAAACATTTACGCTCAGTAGACTATCACTCAATGAGAGTACTGCATTTGGGTTGCTTACTCATATGGCTTCAATTAAATTTGCAACTCACATTTTTCGATCTTTTA